TACTTTTAAATATGTATCTTTAAAATCTCAATTAAAAAATTATTAAAAAAAAAAGCCTACTCAGCTTCTACCCTGGACACCTGGTAGAACAATTTTGAATCTCTCCCAGTTATGTCTGCCTAGGCCCTCCTTGAAATGGCAAGCAAAAGCTGGAGGATGCGATGTTAAGATGGCAGTAATCTATTATGATTGTATTCCCCTCACCAGATATAAAAGGAAGAAAAGCTGGAAAGAACTGGTATTTGAAAAGACCATGTATAATGCAAACACAGATAGGAAAAAATATGGGTATAATATTGAGAAGCATGTTTGGGAGGCAGAATATAAAATAATAACTTCACTAGATCACCAAACTACTGAGAGTCATTTTTATTGCAGTGGGATAAAGATGCAATAATAAGTAAAGTATGCCTGAACTAAAAAAGCTGAGAAATGATACCTCCACAGTCAATGTTGTCAATTAACTTAAAAGAAAATGGAACTATGGAAACTTTTGCCATAAGGAAATCACTGCAGTGAAAAATTTAGTAATTTCAAAAAATAGATTGTGTACCAATATAAAATAGTATCAGTAATTGTCTGCTGACCATACAAAATGTTTATCTAGTACCATTTTGTGACTGGCTCCTTTCTTGCACTGCCATCTTGCAGTCATGATCAGTTCTCTCAAAAGGACTCTGACCTAGAAACTTTGAAACCCCCTCATCAAGGGGATTAGTGCTATGAAATATACATGTCTCACTTTTTCTTCGCCCTTATTCTAATTGTATCTGAAAGCAGGTGGAGTTCAAAATGTAAGAATGTTAAAGTCTAAATCCCAGGCCTGTGCAAACCATACAAATTAGTGTTTTGCATATTAACGTATATAGAAGACACTTCTGTAATATGCATGTACATGAGAACCTTGTAAAACTGTCAAAGTAGTTATACAGATCACTTGGGAAGATATGGCTACCTTGAAATACTTGAGTGAGGAGCCCTTCCAAATGGTTTGCATAGCCCTACTAAATTACATCTTATATTATGTAAGATATAACAGGAGTTGGAGTGTCTGTTGGAGCCTCTGAATTAGTTTTACTGAAACATCTGTATTGTATTTATATTGATGGTTGGTTTTTGGTGCTGTTGTTTTTATCTCAGCTACCAATTGTCTATTTATTTTGTATATTGGGGGGGTGCTGGGTTTTTTTAATTGTTGTTTCCACCCAGAGTCACTTGTTGAAATGGGCAGTCATATAAATTAAATAAACAAATATTATACTAAACTGCAGTGCAACACTCAGTATTCAGAAGTAAGCTCCACTGAGTCCACTGTACTCCCTGGTATGACAGTAAAAGGAATGCAACTATAAAATCTTAATATATTTAACATCTAGATCAAGTATTGCCCTCCAAATCCATTAAGTATTAATTTGCATAAAAATAGTTCTAAACATTCAGTGATCTGATTTTACTTACACTTTTATGCTTAGAAATTATGAAGTGGACGTAACTGAAGATATATACTGTTTTTAAAAAATCATTTGATGCAAAAGAGGGGGGTATTAGGCCCTCATAGCATCAAGTATGTGAACATTTTTTTATTTTTTATTGTAACTGTTCATATGCCTTTTTGAAAATTGCAAGTCTGGCATTTCAAAAATAAACAGGAAGTGAAACTAGCAAGCACCTGTATGCCTGTTAGAGACTTTATTTAGACTTTATTTTTTGTGGTTCTAGTTTTTGTTCAACTTTTTAAATATAAGCTTCAGAAATAGCTATTTCATTAAAATATTTTAGTGGACTGGTAAATTATTTTAACCACAATTTATACAAATTTGTACACAATGTACAATTTTTTGCTATTTGAAAGTCTTGTATTTTGTTGATCTGATTTTTTTTTTTTTACAGCACAGACAAGCTTTTATAACCTTACAGCTATAAAACATTATGGGATATATTATCAGATTTCTTATGACTGTGTATCTGTGAAACCCCCAAAACAGAAGATGTGACAGATTAATATATTTAAAATGTCCACAGTGCCTGTTAAAATTTCTCAAGAACATCCTGTCATGTTTGGAATCTGTGGTTCAGAATATTTATTAAGAGTTGTCCAATTATTAACATCAGATGATTCAGCAAAGGGTGCATGTATCTTAATACAGACACATATCCATCATGTTGTTCTCTGTTGATGTAAGTATGTTATGCAAATGGTAGAAAAGGAGTAACAGTAAACAGAAAAAGAGATCAGATAAGAAAAAAGAAGGGGGGAAAATCTGGTTTTCTACAACACTTTTCATTTTACCTTGTCATACTTTTCTATCCTTTCAAACCGTCCATGCTTCTAACCATGTTGATACTTCAATTCATATAATCCCTTTGCTCTTCAAACTTCTTACTTCTCTCTTTTTGAAAATTCTGGTAACTCCAATCATGTACAACACTTTCGGTCTTTCCTTGTAACCCATTTGGTCTTCCTTCATATATTTGTTTTGCATTCATTCTCTCTATATGAACAAACTACCCTAATAGACTTTGTACTGATTACACATTTTTGTATGCAATTATGAATATTATGTTGTTGTTACATTACTTAATTGTACCCATTAATCACCCATTCATTCTTGTCCCCATCCCTGCTTACACATCTTACATAATACATTCCTACAAGATTCAAGTTACTGAATTTCTTCTGATATACCCTCATTTCTATATAACAAGGTGAGCAGAACCACACTTTTCACTATGTTTGCACCTTTCAACAAGCAACTAACTGCTACTACCCATTACCTTCCTAACAACATTTGTACATCTCAATATTTCTCTATACATTTCTCCAGCTTTAGGAAACCCTTCTACAATGGTACACAAATTCATTAATTTGCTGTAGATTGCGCCTAAACAGCTTTGGAAAATACAAGTTCTAGAGACACATACTCCATTCTGCCAATAGGTTAGACCCATCTATCTCATTATCTGAGGTTATATTTGATCTAAGCCGTTATGAGGGGAAAATAAGTCTGTTATGAGTGGTTGACCTAAGTACTTAATGTGGGAGGTGACTGCAGGCAAGGGATTCAACCACTTCTGTTTGCACTCAAATTTGGTAAGGACCATTGTCACTATTATTCACTACTTCCTCATTTAATTACATGAATTGGGGAAAGATAATCATGCATTTAGTTTCACTTGCTAAAACTTCTTTCCTATATTGCTTATTGCCACTATTAAACCTTGTTCATGAGCTCTTCCTTTATGTGAGCCAAATATTCTATTAATTCAATCCCATTGTGTAGTAAATGCACCATTTATGTATAATAAGAATTCTGCTAAGCTCCTTTCCAAGCACATTTAATAAAGTAATTTCCCTGTAATTTTTGCATTTACTCTTGCTATTTGTTTGTGTAGGGAAACAATAATGGCATTCTTCCAATTGTCAGGCATAAATGCAATATTCATACAAATGTTAAACAAGTTGCATAGCCACTCCATAAGCAGACTATAGCCATATTTTAACAATTCTCCAGTCACACTCTCTGTGTGACTATTCCCCACTGTAGTACTGGTTCAGTTTTGGCACATTTTGGCCACTATATCACAGGCATAAGTAAAACTCAGTTCTACCTGAAGCATACTCAGAGTAGTCTATGCAAAGTATATATTTACAGCATTCTATACAGACTAGGATCTCTAACCTGGAGACTACCTTGCAAACCAGCCTAATGTTACCTACATTCCATGCAGGTAGATACAGTGTACTTACACAAACTCATGATTCTTTGCCCTAAGAGCTTCAAAATCCTTCTTGAATCATTGGCTATTAAGGGAATGTGTGTGTAGTAAAGTACTGTGCCATATTTAATCTGAAGTAATTTAATTATAATTTGTTACTTTTATTTTTTCTTTGCATCTTGATCTTTGGCTAGTTTAACAAGTCACATAGAACACATAACTTTAAAAAACAAAACCTTTGCTTGCTATGAGGTAAATTTTCAACTGCTAATAAAACATAATTAATTTTATACTTTCTGTGGTCCCAAGAAAATATGCACTTGAGTTTAGGAAACATTGCACAGTGTAATACTGTACCCTGTTCTCAATTCCTTAATTCAAATATGTATTTTCCTGGGACTATGTGGCTATAGTGAGACCTGGAAAAAGGCAGATATTCTTTAAGAGGGAGCTGACAGGTGCAGTGAGTGTGCTCACAGCCCCTTTAAAGCACCTTTTCTCCTTCAGATCCAAATAGCTGCACATCCCTAGCTCTAAGCCATTCAGACCTTTAAAAATCAGCCCCCAAATCCTACCTTAGGCCCTGGAAATAGATTGATAGCAAATGTAACTAACAAAGGACTAGTGTGATATAATTAAGTTGGCTAAGTCCAATTACAAACTTTGAAACAGTACATTCTTTTGGATGAACTGAACCTTAGAAACTATCTTGAAGGGTACCCCACCATACTATGCATTGCAGTAATTCAAGTGAATGATTACCAGAACATATATAAATGATGTTAAGACTATCCCTGCCCAGAAACATCAGTTTAAAACTTATAAAAGGCATTCTTAGGCATCACTGCCATAAATAGATTTAGAAAAGGGGATAATCAGATAGAATGGGGTGGTTTTATCAAACAGTGTCAAAATATTTAAAATTATAAAAAGATATTCAAAGAACTGCTTAATTAAATTAAACTATTCTATTATAGTAAACAACTTACCTTTTCTGTTGATATGAATTGAGGCCAATAGCTGTCTCAGTCTAAAAAAAATAATGGAAAACTTTGGTTTAAAACAAATCCTTTAAAAAATTACTTCTAAATATTCAGATTATTTAGAATCTGACTATCAGCTGTCTATCCCATTAACTAGAGAATGTCTAATCTCACAAACATTTTAAATTCACAGATACCAATAAATTTGTAGGCAAACAATAAATACTGCATATTTGGACTTTCAAAAATCTTTTGACAAAGTCCCTCATCAAAAGCTTTTAAGCAAACTCAGCAGTGCTGGGATAAAAATATTTTTACTAGAAAATGGGAAAGAGAAAGTAGGGAAAAAATAACAATGTTCACCCTACATATGGGGGATGTCATAGGAGTATATGTTGAGAACAACTATAGACTACAACTTTATACATGGAATTGTGCCACATCCAAAATTCAGGTTTTAGAGTTTATATTTTAACTTGACATTTGATCTACATATAATTTACAGTTTGCTTATACAATATTTATCACTTATTGTTTTGCTATTTCCTTTTTTTCATAATGACTTAATTATTTTAACCAAGCACTTTTAAAGTTTAATATGTTTTGATTAGAAAATGGATACGAAATGTCTTACAGTATTATAAGCTTTTAATGATATATTAGTCCATTGATGCTTTAGATTTGTTAGCTATCCATCCATATTATTTATAGTTATTTATTTATACATCACATTTATATAGCCGCCTATCTCACACAAAGCAACTCTATTCTACTGTTTTATTTGTTTTTTATCTATATTAACTATTGTTTATATTCTTTTACACCTATTTTATCTTTTTTATTTTTTTATTCTTCTAAAATACAGCATTATAATATATAATATGTATTAAATAAATAAATAAAGGGCAACCAAAATGATCTGGGATTAGAGCAGCTTTCCTTCTTCCTCCTAGCAGAAAAGGGGGAGGCGAGGGGAAAAAAGAGATGATAAAGGACAGCTGCATTGAGGGAAAAGAAAACCAATGAAATAAAGATGAGGTAATTGACAGAGAAAGAGAGAAGTACTTGTCAGGAATGATAAAAAGAGTTAACATTTTACTTGGGTGGGGCAGAACTTATCTTCAATATTAAAGTACAGTGGTGACTTTTAACCTTTTCGTAAGACTCCACTACTTGAAAGGGGTAAGAGATAAGCAGGAGAAAAGAGGGAAGCTAATGAAATTGTTTTTGCTCCAGTGAGAGTGAAGACTCAAGAAAAATGTGTAGAGGCTGTGGACAGAGAAGAAACTCAATGATTAGATTCCCAATCAATTTTTCTAGAATCCTCACTCACAGTCACTTTCCCTTTCAAGATCTGCCTGTATTCTGAGAATGTAAGGCAACCAGCCCTTTTTCAAAGGTCACACTTTACAGGAAAAAGTCTCCTTCCCTTGGAATTAATGTGGTGTTTAATAATTTTGCTGTTCCATCACATAAAAATTACAATTCAGGAGCAGCTTTAGAAGGGGCACAAGAGGGTGTATATTGATGTTTCAAGTTATGCACCATCATAAACTATGGTTAATAAGTCACAATGGCTGAGTCCTTACATCACACTGTCAAAATGACATTCAAATCCAGTCAGTGTATTGATTTTCTTACAACACTACCACCAGCACCACATAATTCAGTACTTCAAATTTATCATGAGAAATGGCATTGTTCAAGTTCCTATATATAGAAATTCATTTATTTACTTAGCATGCTATTAAGTGACAAATGAATACACATTTGATTTGTCTATCTTCTGTGCTTGTTTCACAGCTGTTTTTTTGGAAATACTTTATGCTGAAATCAATCAAGAACATAACGTGCCAACAGTCATAGACTCATTCTCACTCTACTGTATTTAAGGGAATGGAATCACTGTTGATTAAAGTTGAGAAATTAAGAATAACTAAATTCAGTAAACATTGTATAGGTCCGCTGAAGATAATGAATAAACAAATTCTATAATAACTGACCAAAGGCTACATCCCCACAGCACTTAAATCATGTTTAGTACAGAGCTGTAACATGCAAACTGAAAATGTTATCTGTGAACAAAGGATCCAGCAGATCTTTAATGCCTAATAAAGATTTGCATTATTAGGGGCAGGAAAAAAAAGATAAGGGAGGTAGCCCCTTTAGTCAATGTTGGCAATTAAATTGGTTTGAATCGGTATTATTGTTAAGGCTTGCACTACTTGATATACAGTGGCACATTATGGTATAAAAATATTGAAATTTAAATTCAAGGAATAATTTCTGCATACCATATGACAACTTACAAATATGCTGTGAGACCTGTGAAACACATTTTTCCCTTTTCCTCCCTCACACTCACTCAAGTCCCTCCCCGTCCATCTTATATGCCAATTTGCTGACAGGAGAAAAGATATAGCTGGCAGCCTGAAAGAGAAGGTGGAAAAGAACAGCCAAGAAAGATGGTAACAGAATATTTGATAAATAAAATAAATAAAATAACATGAAGAATGAAGAAGCTGTATGAAGAACAACTATAATGTAGCTATATAAAGTCTCTTGCCAAAGACGCGCTCATTAAATATTAAAAAGGGTCATCTCCTTTTCATGAATCAAGATGAATAAAAATCATTTTTAATTTTTAAACTATTCTGAAATCAAATAAACCTTTTTATAATAACATGATTTGAAATGAAATCTGAAATACAAACTTTTAAAACTTATAATTCTCTCTGAAAACAATCTAACAAATATCAGCTAGTTTCACACATCTTGCTATGGTTTGTTTTAACCATGATTAGTTGAGTAATAAGCCAAAATACACAAGCCATATAGGTTGTACCACAATTCAGAACTGTAACTGAATTAAAAAGATATTTACATAAAATTATTCTGGAGTTGGGCATTGACATGGGAGTTGGGCATTGACATGACATGGCAATACTTTTTATTGTGGATTTGCTACTATAACTCAGAGTCATCACAGATGCAGGAGTCATACAGATGTAAAATCTCTATCTTACTTTATCAATCCCTAATCAGCATACAATTCTTTAAAACAAATATGATAACTCAGTAACAATTGTTTTTAAAATGTTTCAATCCTTTTTAAACAATTCTAAAAATTGAAGCAGTAATATCAGACCAACAAAACGTCATTAATTTATCTGAAAGACTGAACGAGTATATCTTAAGCTGGTACAGGGAGGGAATTCCACAAATGGAGGGCTTATGAGAACACTCCCAAGTTGTCACAAAGCAAAAGATGTGGAACCTGCAATAGGGCACTCACATTAGATCTTAGCTGATGGGCATATACATGTGAGGAAGGTATTTTGTCATATATCCAAACTCTATAGGCTTTGAACATCAGTACAAGTCAATTAGCAGTCAGACCAGAATAGAAGCAATAGACTGCCCTAGCTGTGGTATTTTTTTACCAGCTGAAGCTTCTGGGCCAACCTCAAGGGTAGTTCTACGTACAGCAAATTGTAGTAATTCTGTCTTCAGTTATCCAATGCGTGAATCATTGTGGACAGATTATCTAGGAACAGATCTTAGGAGCGCCTGCATGATTGAAGGCTGTTGAGGAGGAATGGCACCATGTTCAAAGATAACCTCCCTAACTCCCAAACAAAAACATTATATACCCTGTGTGGCCATCTAGTTAAAATTCAGCCTCTGCTTACTGACCCTCATTTAGCTGATTTTAACTGACCTCCCCAAAGCTACAAGGGTCAGACCTGACTAGTATTTGAATAGAAGATCACCAAGATAACCCAGAGCTGTCATCCACATGGGGTAGCTGACAACAACAGATCCTGGAACTCAATGGCAAAACTACTTCCTTACTGCTGCCATGAAAACTACATGGAACTATCCAAATAGTCACCAAGCTCACTTCAAAGGAGCTTTTACTAATCCTGATCCAGTCCACAATGGTGTCCTGTTAGCAGAACCTACTCAGGTCCTACAGATGATCTTGCACTCTTTTTACTGTCTACTTACCTCCATTTTTCTAAATATCATCATTACTGAAGACCATAAACTTTTCCTCTCGTAGATGAGCGTTACCTTCCCCACTATAATCTCTGGCTTAAAGTTATAGATGCCTATAATAGCATTTCCCATGCATGTTTATTTTAGATTAATCTATACAATTTAAAAGGTTTATGTTAAAGACAATGTTTTTTAAAACTATAACTGTCTCAATCCTTAATAACTTTCATAGGTGTACAGTAGAAGACACAACAGCAAAATTACACTATGTGTGTTGCGATGTAAAGTGATGCAAGTGCATAATCTGTGTTATCTGCATGATGTTCACAACACAGGTAGCCTCACTTGCCTCCTCTTCTCTCCCTTCCCCCCATCACAATATCCTTTCACAGAAACAAACTGAAAACTGTAAACTAGTAAATGTTAAATTATTATTCTAGATTGTATAAATGTTGAATCTAATTGCAAATAATTATACATCAGTCGTTAAAGCAACATGTTCAAAAAACATGGATTTCAAAATGGGAACTTTAATTAATTGTTCAAATATGTCTTTTTACATGTTAATTTCAAATGATTAACTGAAGTCAATCAATTTTATTAAAAATGAGTCAATTCACCCAGAAATCCTTTGTGCCAAAAATCTAGCTAGTTACTTAAAATTTTATCTCAGCATCAAAGAAGACACTTGCTGAGATATCAAAAGCAACTTATGGGCAAAATAATTTGACACAGGGGCCTTGCAAGAGACCATTTGAAGAGAAGAAGGAAATCAAATTTGAACAATTGTTCCACAATTACTTTTTTCTTTATTAAAGAAAATATTGCAACTAGTAAAGCAGGTTATTTAAAGGAATATTACTACATATATAATTCTATTTAAAAGTAAATATTTACCTGTAATAAGCCTCCTTCATCAAAGCGTAGGACTTCTATTATGCTATCTGATTGGATAAAAGCTATAAGAAAAGGAGGGAAAAAGTTAAAACATTTCATTCAAGTGAACTTGAAACCTATTTATTTTACAATATTTAAAACCTGACCCAATCCTGACCAGTTGTGGGTAGAATACAAAAAAGACAAAACAAAAACGAAATTATAAACAATTAAAAACACTATCATCAGAAACCATCAGTAAACTTCATAAGTGCCCATAATGTAATCTAAGGGCTGACCACATGCTCGAACAAACTACCTTTGCTTGTTTATGAAATGCAGGAAATTTGGGGCCATCTGTTCTACTGGGAGGAGGGTATTCCATAAAGTGGGGGATGCCACTGAGAAGGCCTGCTGCCTGCTCATGCACATCATATAGAGGAGGGACCTGCAATACGTCCTCTCTTAATGACTGGATCAGACAAGAAGGCTCAATCCTGCCAAGGCATTTCCCAATATATTTTGATGCTGTACCAGAAATACCTTTGAGTTATTTGAAGGTAATAATCTGCACTTTCTTTTAGGCCTGGAAACTACTGGCAACCAATGCAGCAATTTCAAAATAGGTATTATTCTTATCTGTCCAGCTTGTCTACTCAGCAATCTAGCCATTGCATTTTATACCAGTTGCAACCTCCAGGTTATCTCCGAAGGCAGTCCCTTTGAATGTGTTATAACAATCCAACCAAGTCATGATTAGGGCATGAGTTGCTGTCATCAAGGCATTTTAGTCCAAGTAGGGTCGCAACTGGTGCAGAAGCCAAAACAAGACAAAAGCTTCCATGGCCATGGCTTCCAGTTGCTGTTTAAGCAGATCAGCTTGTCTTAAAAGATTTGCCAAAACCATCAAGTTCTACCAAACTATCCTTGAAATAACAACTATTCATTTCTTAATGCCCTATTGTTATTGCCAATATGTTATTCTGTTGCTCATCATTATTTCTTCATTTTATACTCCAGAAAAAGAAACCCTATAAACCTTTACTGAAAGAGTGGCCACAGTGAGGAAATACTGTTGTTTGGGAGAGTTACACATAAAGAGGACTAACATGTTCAGGAGTATTCTGGAGCTGAAGAATGGCAAGATATTTTAGGATTGGGTAGAGGTGGGGCTTTAGACACTTCTCCGAAGAGGACATTCTTTCTCAGGCAATGCAAAAAAACAGTTTAGCAGCTAGGTACAGTATTCACAGGGGAGACAGGGCCTCAACCAACCCAAAAACAAATTTTAATATCTATGAGCCAATTTCTACCTGTTAAATAACAGTAAAAGAAACACATGAAAGTGCCAGGATAAGATGAAGAATCCACAGTAATTGCATTAGATTTTTTTGGCTACATTTCTTCCTTCTATAAATTGGCTCAGGCATGTATCAATTTTGCCCATTTTTGTTATCTTAATGCTTAACAATTCATACAGAAATTGATTTAAAAAAACAATTATATCAATGCTTATGCATGAGTAAAAAAAAGCTTAGTATTTATTTTAACTTATTTTTTACTCATGCATAAACATAGATGTTTATAATTTTATAATACCCAAATATGAACAATATTGTATATTATTTAATCTATAATTTAAAAACAATGAATTGTTTAAAAGACAAAATTTGGATACAGTCCTTGAATATCAGTATTATTTAAAATTTCAATAGTGCTTTAAAAAGGGCCAGAAATTAACTGGAGGGATGTATGTGTAGTAAAAATGATAAGGCAGTATAAAAGAAAAATTAACTATACTGTAATACTATTACCCAGCAATGGCAACTAAACAACATTAACAGATAGATAAGGAAAATCAACCACAAAGCTGTACACAATCAAGTACTGTACGCTGAATGGGCAGGATTGTTGAAAGGATAAAATAGGAGAGAGAGGAATCATGAAGTGAACAAATTAACATGACAATCTAAACTGGAATTCTAACCTAATCTGGATTCAGATTCACATTATAGTTTACAGTATGGTTACGTCCAGGATGACATCTGAATCCATATCACGAGTTAAATTATGGCCAGCCACAGTTTATAGCTATGGTTTGTTTTAAGTATAATCACCTAAATCTCAGTTTCGAATATGTGTCTGAATGTGGACACAGGAGACTAATATAATAGAATCTTAACAACTGGAAGTGGCCATTTAGGAGTTCAATCTGCTCTTCAATTCAGGAATCCAAATTAAAGCATCCCCCCAGATGGCTAGGTCAGAGTTTTCCAAACTTTTTCAGGTTGCATAATCTGTTAGTTTAAAAAAAAAATCCTGGATCCCAATTAAAAGATAATGCTCTAGTGAAGAAAATTGAGTGAACTCTATCACCCCAAGGAACCCTATCAAGTTCTTGTGGAACCCTAGGGTTTCGATACTGCCCAAATAAGGACAAGGTAGTGTCCCATTCTGGGCACAGCAGTCTAAAAAGTCATCAATAAACTGGAGCATGTTCAGAGGGCCGCCAAAATTAGAAGGGAACTGGAAACTGTTCTCTAAGGAACAATTAAAGAAACTGGGTATGGGCATACTGCAGAAGGGAAGACTAAGCAATCCTCAAATATCTAAGGACTTGTCATATAGAGGTGGGAGCAGACATTTTCTCAGTTGTCCTGTGGTAGGACCAAAACCTATTCGATAAAACTGCAGGGAAATAGACTCAGGTTAGTTATTAGGAGGAATATTCTGAGAGCTGTCAGTGAGCAGAATAGTATGCCTCATAAAGTGGTACTGGAATCTTCAAACAGAGGCTGGATGGCCATCTGTTCAAAATGATTTAGCAGATCCTATACCCAGCTACAGCCTGATCTCTGTAGGTCATTTCAAACTGTATCATTCTATGATGTTATACTTAGGCAATCTGAAAATCTCTTCTATAATGGATAATCAGGAAGCTGCTAAAGTCAACATATTTGTAAAAATGTACAGAGTAGATATATCCCTCAAGCTCCAAATCAACAATCATACTTTCACATGCAGAAATTAGGTAAACCATGTACATAAAAGTGACTCTTCTTATTTTTTAATATTTATATAGGCATCAGAATCCTGATACATGTGTATTTTCCTTGTAGATTTTCCCTGTAGCTTTAACTAATTATTTCAGATAAACAGGAATAACTGGGGACCACAATTGTAGGCTAATAAGGAGCTTCTACTATCAAAACAGATAGGGCCCATGCTGTATCCATGAGAGAACTATGTAGATTTGCCTTGGAATTTTTACTGTCTGGGATTTTATTTTCTAGTAAAAACAGTAAGATATGCCAGATATGTAGTGTTGGCCCCTCTATCTCTTTTTGGTGGGTCTTGAAGCCTTTCCCCCAAACTCCACTACACCATCTCACAGTTCTGGGCAAAGCCTATTTAGGAAATGCTGTCACAGAACACATTTTTCCAAAGAATTTTTTTTCTGGAGCTGAATTCACTAGAAATAGTTGAACTGGTGTCCCTGCTTGCTTTCCTTTTTGTAGTTTAAATGAGTAGGGAGGTACATAGGCTAAGGGTAAAAGCCTTCTTGATTAAGAGTCAAAGATGCAATAAGAATTCAAGCCTCTATTATGAATATCAAGATTAAAGAAGTGAAGGAGAAAAAAGAAAGTAACAATGATTATCCCAACCACTCTCTTTACCCCAAAACATATATATTGTACTGTATACAGAAGATGAAACAAAGATAACATAACCAAGACTCTACAGCTCAAATTGTTTTTCATAAAATAAAAACCAAAATGCTAATCTGCATTTAGCTCCACTATTGTCAAGAAACTGTATTTTTCTTGGATCTCCAAAAGAAAAACAAAAAACAAAATCGAGCTACCCATTCCTATTTTTAAAAGCCCACTGAGAGAGGAATCTTCCCATGCCTGACTGGTTCTTTGATTTTCACAGGGTTTTGGTGTCTCTGTGCTTTTAACTGGATTGACCAATCAGGTTTTTCCTAAACTTTTTCAGTGTGAGAATCTCTTGGAATGGGATTACCTTCCATCTGTTGCAACAATTTACTGTTTTCAAGAGTGCCATTTTTGATAATTGTTTTTTTGTTATTTATTTATCAGTAGGAAGGTATCTGGGAAACATTGCTTCAAACACAGTATTTCCATTAATATTTGTTACTGGTGAATTAAATTATTAATATACTTGTAATATTTCTGGCTAGAAGTAACATACATTCAATCACCATACCCGAGCCATCTGACAAGTTAGCATGAGGCTCTTGTAAAGAATAGAAAGGAAGCAGGGCAGACTACACAGCAACAGTTGGTCCCATAGCTGGTCCCAAGCTGTGTAAAGATTTATGCACCAGAATGAATACCTTATATTAGGGTCAGAAAGCAACTAGCAGCCAGGGTAGCTTTCCCAACATGGGAGCAATATGGCATCTCCAAGAGATGCCACTTGCCTTCCATACCACTGCATTATGGGCCAGCTGCAATTTCTGGACCCTCTTTGAGGAGTGTTGCATGAAATATACATTGCAGTAATCTAGCCTTGAGGTTACCAACACATGTATCACTAAACCAGGTTCCTTCCCTCCAAGTACAATACAACCTGTTACTCCAATAAAGCAGATAAATGCTGCCCCCGCTTGCCACTGTTGTCTTAATGTTGGTACCAGTCTAATCAATAAAGTTAAGTTCAATCTCCAAAGTATGTTTTAGTTTGAAGCAGTAATGAGTTTTCAGGCTGAAAGTCTAGTTTTCTTTTGTCCTGATGTCTTGCCAGCAGCTGGGGCTGGCATCTTCAAAGGCAGAGTGAGCTGCTTTGTGGTGTACCTCTTATCAGGTCACAGGCAACACCAGTATACCTTTTAATTTGTCTATCTACATTAAACAATACAGATTCAAGATATATAACTCTAAATAAGCTTTTTTCTTTTCCCTAAAAGCTTGCATTTGAAACTTGATTTAAAAATCTAAATTATGGTGCAGGTAATTGCCTATACAGTCATCAACAATAGCAGACATTTCTACTCAAAGCTAAAAGTAATGAACTGCCAAGTCACAAGGCCAGAACAGATTCTGATAAGCAAACAATCCAATTAAGATCATACAGCCTGAAAGAGTATCAGCGTAAGAATACCTTCTGTATCCTTTTAAAAGAAATAAGCCAACCTGAAAAGCGTTCAATGTATTGTCGAAGGCTTTCACGGCCGGCATACGATGACTGGTGTGGGTCTGCTCCTGTCTGTGCTCCTGCACTCTGAAGATGCCGGTCACAGGTGCTGGCGAAACG